AACAAGCCTGAGGGATTTCCTCAGCCTAGAAGCCGTCAACAAGTTAAATCTTATGCAAATATAAGTCAAGGAGGGGCCAAGTTCTGGCCCTAGCAAGCAGAAGAACTTCGCAGCTCTGGCCACCTGGTTCTGGATTTCAGGGACCATACAGGAAACGGTTGTGGAACCTTCTTCCTCTGCAGTTAAAGACAGCTGCTGAGGCTGGGCAGGTGGCAGGAGAGCCCCTGCATGGAGACCCAGAGAGGCTGTTGTATGAAGCCCTGAAGATGAAACCCGATGGTGGTGACGCCTAGCAAGTTGTTGAAGATGCCAGAGGCATGGGATACCTGCTAAGTAGAGCTGAGGCAGGATGTGGAACGAGCCCAAAGAGAGAAGTGTGCTACAGTCAGCAAAGTTGGAAGGGAAAAGGCGTCTACTAAACCCTTTGGCATTAGACATAGAGACACAGGATTGGAAGTTTGCCCTTCTGGTTTCCATCTTGCTTTGATCCAGTGTTTCTTCCTTTGCCCCCTTTCTTCCCTTGTGAAATTGTGGTGTATATTCTGTGCCATTGTGTATTGGAAGTGTATGCTCTGCTTTATTTTACTGGGGGTTACAATTGAGAGATTGCCTTGAGGCTCAGAAGAGATTTTGGACTTTTAAGCAGTGTTATGGTTTTTTTTTTTTTTTTTTTCTTTTTTTGATTTTTCGAGACAGGGTTTCTCTGTGTAGTTTTGCGCCTTTCCTGGATCTCACTCTGTAGACCAGGCTGGCCTCAAACTCACAAAGATCCACCTGCCTCTGCCTCCCGAGTGCTGGGATTTAATGGGATTTAAGGCGTGCACCACCACCGCTTGGCCTAAGTAAGCAGTGTTAAGACTGAAAGACTATGAGGATTTTTGAAGTTTGACTGAATGCATTTTGTATTATGATATGGCTACAGGCCTGTTAGGGCCAGGGAGTGTAATGTTTGAAAGAAGTCCCCATAGACTCATATGTTTGAATGCTGGGGTCCCCAGTTACTGGAAGTATTTGGAAAGGATTAAGAAGTATGGCTTTGTTGGAATGGGTGTGACCTTGTTGGAGGAGGTGTGTCAATGGGGGTGGGCTCTGAAGGTTTAAAAGCCCACACCAGGCCCCATCTCTCTGTATGTCTGTCTGCCTGTGGATCAGGATGTAAGTTCTCAACCCCGTGCCTGTCTGCTGTCATGTTAGTAAAGAACTAAAAGAGTAATCCTCAGAAACTGTAGGCAAGCTCCCAATAAATGCTTTCTTCTTTCAGTTGCCTTCGTCATAGTGTCTCTTCACAGCAATAGAACAGTAACTAAGGCAGCAATTTATTTTGACAAGCATAACCCATATCACAGCTGAAGATAGCATAGGCCAGATGAAATGTTAGAATAACTATGAAAGAATAAACTAAGCCTTATAGAAATTGTATTAGTGAGAATTTAATCTCAGTCACTATTTTTAGTCTGCTTTCTGCCGTGGTAAAACACTACCATAAACTCTGTAATTTATAAAATGGAAGTTTATTTGCTTACAAGGGTTACAAGAGGTTGTGAGCATCCTAAAGTTAAATACTAGCAACTGAACTTGGGTTCTCTGTAGGAGCAGCAAGTGTTCTTAAACATTGAAACATCTCCAGGCCCCAAGTCAAACTTTTAAAAGCCTTTTAGTTTACAATACGAGGTAGAAAGAAAAAACAACAACAAAAAACACAAGCAATTCTTAGTATTCTGCATTCTAATAAAGCATTTAAGATTTCAAGAGATTTATAGGGGATTATATTTCTCGGCACTTGAGATCAAGTAAAAAAGTTTTAACTCCTTCAGTTTTTACTTTCCCTTGTGTCTTAGCCACTGTTCTGTCTGTGAAGAGACATCATAACCAAGGCAGCTTATAAAGAAAGCAGTAATTAGGGGCTTGCTTGCAGTTTCAGAGGGTTAGTCCATGATCATCATGTCAGGGAACATGGTGACAGGCAGACATGGCACTGGAGTAGTAGCTGAGAGCTTACAGTCCTCTTCCACAGTCAGGGGGCAGAGAAGAGGGAGCCTGGGCCTGGGGTGGGCTTTTGAAACCTCAAAGCCTACCCCAGTGACACACCTTCTCCAACAAGGACACACCTCCTAATTTTCTAAACACTCAACTAACTGGGAAACAAACATTCAAGTATATAAACTATAGTGAGCATCCTCATTCAAGATCTGTAATTTTAGTTTGAAGGCCAAGTTTTTGTTGTTGCTGATGTCATTAGATATGATATTGTTGGTTGTTTCTGCTCTTTTTGGGGGCCCACCACCCAGCTCTCAAATAAATCACACAGAGGCTTATTCTTAATTATAAATGACTGGCCTTAGCTTGGCTTATTTCTTGCCAGGTTTTCTTAATTTAAATTATCCTATCTTTGGCCTTGGGGCTTTTATCTTTCTCTGTTCCTGTATGCCTTTTCTTTCCTTCTTACTCTGTGTCTTGCTGTGTAGCTGGGTGGCTAGCCCCTGAAGTCTTCCTCTCCTTGTTCTCTTGCTCTTTCTCTTTATTGCCTCCCAGATTTCTCCCTCTATATATACTCTCTGCCTGCCAGCCCCACCTATTCTTTCTCCTGCCTCACTATTGGCCATTCAGCTCTTTATTAGATCATCAGGTGTTGTAGACAGGCAAAGTAACACAACTTCACAGTGTTAAACAAATGCAACATAAAAAAATGCAACACATCTTTGTACCATCAAGCAAATGTTCCACGGGATAAACAAATGTAACACATCTTCAAATAATAGTTTACAACAATATGAAGCACTGTTCAGTGTCTAATTTCATTTCAAAAACAAGGTTTGCATTTGGTGGACTTTGGCACCGGCTGCTCTTTCTTTCTCCCCATGATTCCATCCTGTCTTGGTCTCCATCTGAGCTTTTCTCCCCTCCCCATAGTCAGCAGTGCTTCATGCCTTCCTCTAATAGTCTTTCTTATTCCATCTGGGAAACTTACAGGCTTGGCATTTTCCTTCTTTGAACTTGTTGAATATTAATATCAAATCCAGCCCCATCCTATAGTGCTCCTATAAACTAGCAGTGAGCAGCACCGCCCTTTTGAGAAAGTTGATTTCATCTCCATTTTACAGCAGATGTTGTATCTATTGGTAGATCCTTATCCAGAGTCCCTTTAGACTTAATGTCTTTGAGTTTGTGGTCATGAGGCTCCACAGCTTTTGTTTGCACTGACACTTTGCTTCTCTTTCAGTATCTTTGAAATGCTTACTGTAAAAAGATGGCTATGAACTGTACCAAGTGGTCCTCTTAGCCATCTTAGTTACATTTTCAGTGTTTCCTAATAGTTTATGCTCTGCAAGAAATGAATCTGAATTGTGATCCTGCAGATGATATCCTTCTTGGGCAGCTGTTCCCTGCTCAACAGCGCCACAGTCCATGCCCTCTGTGGAACCACCTCTGTCATTTTCCCTGATTTCAAATTTCTAGCACCCACAGAAAAGCCAGGCATGGCCAAATGTGTCTTGTCACCCCAGCAGAGGGTAGAGAGAGTCAGTCCTGAGAGCTCACTGGTTAGCCAGCCTGATGAAAACAGCAAGCTTTAGGTTCACTGAGAGACTGACTCAAAAAATTAGATGGAAAGTAAAGAAGAAAGACACCTGTTAACTTTCTCTGGCCTCTTGTCTGCACAGGCATTGACCCACATGCCTGCATGCATATACACACACACAAAATACTAGCAAACTAAACACATAGTAGGAAATGTCAAGTCCTCCAAAACTATAGTAGTAAAATACGTGTCATTTAATAAAATATTTAAAATTTGCAAAAACTGTATCTGCTAAGCTACTAAACTATTATAGATCTGTAACAAGATTTAAAAAACACTCAATATGGGGCTGGAAAGATGGCTCAGCAGAAGACCAGGTTCAATTCCCAGTACCCAAATGGCATCTCAAAGTCATCCCAATCCCAGGGAATTGACACCCTCATCTGAACCTCTCAGGCGTCATGTGGTGCACAGACATACTTGCAAGTAAACACCCATACACATACAATTTAAAACTTAAAAGACAAAAACAAAAACTCAGAATGTGTTGCTTGCCTCATACTCCCAGTGGTTAGGACATTGGCTGCAAATGGTAGCCACCACATTTTCTGTCAGCTCACTATATAATATCTTTAGCTTCATTGTGAATATATTATTTGATGCTCCCCCAAGATAATTTTTCTTTAAAAGTCATCTATAAGATGACAACCCTTGACATTTTTTCAGTATTCCTTTCTTTTTCTTTCCAGTAATTTAAGTTATTGTAGGCCCTAGCATTTAGAAATGGCTGCTCTCCAGCTTCTGCCAGCAGGGTGCTTGGGAGAAGAGCTGTTTAAGGAAAGATTACTTCAGAGCAGTCAGTTCATCCACTCTGTGTTCCGAATCCTTTCTGTTTCCCATCAGAACTGTGGCAGCTACTTTTATGGTTAATGTGCCATATACTCTGGATTTTACAATCATTGGTGAAATCAATATAGACTACAGTGTTTAAGAAATATGATTTGAGTGTGCCATCGTATCACTTAATCCTCCTCCCCTGAAGAAAGCTCACAATAAGGCCTTAGAATTTATACTAGGAAAAAAGTTGTGGCTTCCCTGAAGGATTGGTAGACTATTTTCTTTTGAGGGTGAAAGCTAGATAGGATCCCCCTTTGCAGCCCAGACTGGCCTCGAAGTTGTTAGGTTCAGCCTCTCAACCGCTGTAGGCCATCACCCGTAGCTCAGGGGAATTGTCTTTAATGATAGATACACTAATTTATTTTCCTCTGGACTGCTCGGGTATAGTACCAAGTTTTGATACTATGTGACAGCAACTCTGTGAGTCTTTGCTAAATACGTTCTAGAAGTGTGTGTGCAAAGAAGGATTTTAGGAGAAAATAGACAGAGGCATTACAGCATTTGGTCAGTTCCTGCTTTGTTAGACTTAATGCTGCTGAGCCAAGCCAGTGAGTTCCTTTCTCTGTGCTTTTCTCCTTTCCACTAGAGAACATTGTGCGATGTGATCCTCATGGTCCAGGAGAGGAAGATACCTGCGCACCGTGTGGTCCTCGCTGCAGCAAGTCACTTCTTTAACCTGATGTTCACAAGTGAGTATTTCCAGATGAACCTGTTGTCTGGGGCTTGTCTTTCCTGTGAGAATTGGGTAGAGTCTAAATACAAATATCTTTTCTAGTTTTTAAAGCTCTTTAGAACTTAAGGCTATAGAACAATAAAGAGAATGAAAGTGGTCAGATGTGATGCTGATCAAGGGTAAGTGTTCTTTCATTAGCCCTAAAGGTCCAGTGTCTTTGATGGTAAAGGTAGTTTCTGCCTGAATGTCCAGAGTTTGTTTTCTCCACCTGAGGTGGGTAGACAGGGTAGCAGATGCAGCTCTTGGCATTATGTCTAGCAAGTTTGTGCCTTGAAAGGGCTGGAGGGAAGGAGGAAGAGGGGGGAAAATGTGGCACACTGTAGTGGAAAGACCCGAAACCAAGGCCTGATTACACTACCTAGTATTGATTTCTGAGGCTTGTTTATTGATCTTGAGACAGCAGCTTGCCATGTAGCCAGGGCGGGTCTGGAATCTTGAGTGATCTCTTCTCTCTGCCTGCCAAGTGCCGAGATTACAGGCGTCCGTCATGACACCTGTCTCTTGTTCTGTGATCTTAGTCAAGTGAAATAACATATCTGCCTCAGGTTTGTCTTTGGTGTCCTCCCTACCTCTGAGGATTTGGAGGGAAACAGGGGAGAGTGACCCTGAAGGATGTCTTTCTCTTTGCACTTGAGGAAGCTCTTAGGTGAATTCAAGGGGTGCCACTAACACGGAGGGTTCCTTTGCATGTGCTTCCCTCCAGAGATCTCTGTCCCAGGGCCCTCTGTATTCACAGAACCCGGAGCGGGTCAGTTCCTCAGTTAACCTGTGGTGGCGCTGCTTTCTGCTCTTCTTTCAGCTAACATGCTTGAATCCAAGTCCTTTGAAGTAGAACTCAAAGACGCTGAACCTGATATTATTGAACAGCTGGTGGAATTTGCTTACACGGCCAGGTGAGTTCAGAAGAATCGTTCTGTTTGGGGGAGTAAACTTGGGGTCTGCCACACACAGAAAAGCAGTGTTGTAACAAAATGGTTGGCTCCTGATTCCTTAGAACAAAAAACTGTAATGGAGGAGTTGGAGGGATCATATGTCATAGGAGAGTATATTCTACAGTAATATTTAAGTAATTAAATTGTGTGAAATTAATATTCCCTTTAACTTACAGAATTTCTGTGAATAGCAACAATGTCCAGTCTCTGTTAGATGCAGCAAATCAGTACCAGATTGAACCAGTGAAGAAAATGTGTGTTGATTTTTTGAAGGAACAAGTTGATGCTTCAAATTGTCTTGGTAAGAAATACCAGATTCCTGGATCCTTTTTTCAAAAAAGTCCTCATTGTGTATTTAAATAAAGAAAAAAAAAGTATTGGTAAGAATCTTCATTTAACCTTAAAGATACCATCCATTGAAACATTTTTTTTTTAATTTATGTGCATTGGTGTTTTGCCTGCATGAGGGTGTCGGGTTCCCTGGAACTGGAGTTACAGACAGTTATGAGCTGCCACGTGAGTGTTGGGAATTGACCCCCCTCCTCCCGTCCTCCGGAAGAGCAGCCAGTGCTCTTACCTGCTGAGCCATCTTTCTAGCCCCCCACTGAAACATTTTTATGTTTATGTAATAAAATTTTAAAGGAACGTATAAAGAAGCACATACTAGCCTGGGTAGCAATAAGCTCAATAAATACTGTGTCACTGTTTTCTAAAATGTAACATGGTTGTTTGTCCTTTTGTTTTGTTTTTCAAGACAGGGTTTCTCTTTGTAACAGCTCTGACTGTCCTGGAACTCACTTTGTAGACCAGGCTGGTCTCAAACTCAGAGAGATCCACCTGCTTCTGCCTCCCGGGTGCCGAGATCAAAGCTATGCACCACCACATCCAGTAGTAATGTGACTTTTATAATGGCTTTCATTCATCAAAGACAAGCAACAAGGATGCTATTTATTCATGGTAGTTTTATATGGAAAACATGAACATTTTTCCTACAGGACTCATGATGTGCTAAGAAAACTGAGGTTGTATTTTTAACTTCCTGAAGTCATGTAGTCACTCTGTGAGTGATCTGGAAATGGAGTTTGAGTAAGCTGATGCTTGTTTAGTACACCGTGCTGTCTCTCCATTGACCAGTATGTTTTGCAGTAGGAAATAGAGAAATCATAAATTAAGGTGAGATGATCCTTACTGGCAGCGAGCAAGTACTCAGCTCTTTGTAGTTACATTTTCCTACCCATACTGTAATTCATAGACTTTAGGGAAAGAGAAAGCTGGAGATCCAGGACAACATGGAGAAAAAGTAGAATCAAGGAAATCGAGGGGCCTGGAACCTAGTCGACACTCAGATCTCTGACTCGAAGGAAGGATGGAGGGATGCTGAGGACAGGAAATGAAGGCTGGGCAGAGGGCTTCTGGGGCTGCTCGGACCTCTTCTGTCCCAATTTTTCCTATGCTTCCTCCCTAGGGCACTTTGTACTCCTTCCAGCACACATACTGTGAGCCTAGGGAGGAAAAAACTTGGAAGGCTGTCAAAAAGGAAACAGGATAATTGTAGGAAAGAATAAAGGTCAGACAAAGGGATAAAGATGAGACTGGTCTGGTATCCAGAAAAGGAACTGCATTTGATGGAGTGGGACAAGTAGCTATGGAGTAAACATAGTGATGGAATTTCTTTGTTAGCCATAGGTCAACATGGTAAGACCCTACATTAGGAAATAAATACTGCCTTTTATCTACCTGTGTACCAGGCATCCTCTGGACTATAGTTAATAGCTCTATCGATCTAGCTTTTTACTTCTTTTTTTTTGGAGGGGGGATGGAGGTTAACAAAGCTAAGAGAGAAAGGATACCCCAGTGGCCTAGAAAGGAGCCTGATTCTGAGCCTAAGCCTGGGACAAAGACAGTGACTTCAACTAGGCATGATAGCTGAAGTGAGAGGATTGCCCCTATTTCAAGGCCAGCCTGGGCTACAGAATGAGACCTTGTCTCAAAAAAGGGGACAGAGGCGGACAGTGGCTCTGAGCCATTTGCAGTCCCTCAGTAACTTGGTGAAGGTAGGATGAGAGGACCCGCTTCTGCCTGCTTTCTGTGTGGATCTGAGCATAACTGTCGCTGCCAGCCCGTTAGAGAACTCCTGCCCAAGATTTCCTTTGCAAGATTTCCTTTGCTTCTCTTCTGCTCAAAATATATCTTGCCACTCTTATACAGGTGCTGAGGGAACCCATGGTAACTGATTGAATTGGGCAAAACACAACCAGACATGATGATGCACACCTACAATCCAATACTGAGAGAGCAGAGGCAGATTCAAGACCAGCTTGGTGTATACAGCTAGTCCAGGCTAGCCAGGGCTTTATAGTGAGACCTGGTCTCAAAATAACAAAAGAAAACAAAATCATACAAAGTTCAAGGAAACCTAGTAGTTTGAGAGACAGAAAAATCACACTAAACAGCCAAAATGAATAGCTCCCAGGGGCAAGAAATAGAAAGAAAATTAAAAATAGATAAGGCGGGTGGTGGCGGCGGCATGCACCTTGAATCCCAGCACTTAGGAGGCAAAGGCAGGTGGATCTCCGTGAGTTCAAGGCCACCCTAGTCTACAGAGTGAGTTCTAGGACAGGATTGTCTATACAGAGAAATCCTGTCTTGAAAAACCAAAATAATAAATAATAATAATAATAATAATACAGAAAAGGCCAGGCAGTGGTGGTGCACTAATTTAATCCTAGCACTTGGGAGGCAGAGCCAGGTGGATCTCTGTGAGTTTGAGGCCAGCCTGGTCTACAGCCAGGGCTATACAGAGAAACCCTGTCTCAGGAAAAAAAAAATACAGAAAAGATGTTTGAAGGGGCAAAAGCCCTATGGTTTTCCAATCTTCACATTTAATCAAATTGTAAAGTAGATGCCCCGTAAAATTCACACTAAAGATCAGTTGGGAAACTATCCATTTTACAATACTACAAATGAAAGGAAGCCATTACTGAAAGATGAAAGAGCCCGTAGAGGAAGAAACAGGGCACTAATATGAAGCAGGAGCTCCAGGAGCAGATAAAAGAAGCATAAAAGTCAGCGAACTGCAAAGGAAAAATCATTTGGACTTTAAAGACAATTTCAGGCTGAGTACAAAGGCTGACTCATGAACTAAGATATTCCTTAGCTATATCCTAGTGATATTTTTTATCTTTAAAAATCGAGAGCTTAGATTTGAGGTGATGAAAATGCTCTGGAGCTAGATAATAATCGTGCCGGGATGACATGAGTATACTAAACGTGACTGGTTGTAGATTTTGTTATATGAATTTACCACCAAAAAATTAACATCTAATGTGTAAGTTTTTAGAGATAAGTGATAGGTTACCAAAACAAACAATTTCTATCATATCATGGTTGAGTATGAAATGTCCCACAAAATGACTTCTGTGTTTGAAAACGTAGTCTCCAATTCTTGAGAGACTATTGGATCAGGAGAGTACTAGCTTCATCACTAAGAATATCCTGGTTAGAATTTTTTAGTGGTGGAAAATGAGCTGTTTTGTTTTGTGAGACAGGGGCTGTAGCCTTGTCTGGCCTGGGAACTCAGTGTGTACACCAGAGCTGGTCTCAAACTTACAGAAATTCACCTGCCTCTGCCTCCTGAGGGCTGGAAGGCATGGGCTACCATGTCCAGCAAAATAAGATGACTTTTGTTGTTTTAAACAGAAAGGGAATTTGAGAGGCTATGATACATAACTCATGAAATTGCCCATACCTCAAATGTCGGGCTTAGAAGAAGTAGAATTTGAGTAACAAACGTGTTTAGCTAGATTCTAGATTCTGTGATCAGAGAATGAGTACAAGTTTATTCCCTCAGAGTGTTCACAAGTACTAGTGACCAGCAACGGAAAATCCAGAGCTCCTGAAAGGAAAGAAGTGTAGGGCCTAACCCCCAACAACAGTGCCGTACGGCAAGAAATTAGCTCTAGAAGGGCCTGTTCCTTCAGCACTTGGAAATTGAAAAGAAAATTTTAAAGAAGTATTAAAAACCAAATTATAGGCTATTAAAAGTGATAACACAATAAATCAGAATCTTTGGAATATAACCAAAGCATTTTTTAGAAAAATGTATTTTTATCTTTCTTGGTTTAAGCATCCTGCTCAAAGAGGTAAGAAAGCCTTTCAAAGTCTGTTAAGAAGGAAAGCTCAAAGAACAGCTTCAAGAGTGGCACTGTGTCTAGGAAAGCAAAAGGCAAGACTAAGCTGTCTTCAGAAGCAGAGAGCCAGTCACCTCAGATGGCTGGGGAGGTCCCGGTGTGATGTCTTTATGAGTTAGTGCTAGTACACACACAAAGTTGAGATTCATTTTTATTATTTAAATTTCAGATCAATAAAAAAGAGTAGAAGCTTTCCAGAAATAGGATTCCCATAATGCCAACTTTGAACAAAGAACAAGTATATGTGTATATACAGATGTGCATACAACTTTAGCTTTACTTAGAACCAGTATTGTTTTTAGTGCTAAAACCATTTCAAATCCAGCAATGAATGTATTTTTCTAAAGAAGTCTTCCCTTCTCCAATTGAAGATGATAATAACGGGGGCTGGAGAGATAGCTCAGTGGTTAAAGGTACTTTTTACTCTTGCAAAAGACCTAGATTCAGTTTCTCAGCACCTACATGAAGGCTCACAACTGTCTGTAACTCTTGTTGCACGAATCCTAAATGGTCTTGTAATAAAAACCCAGAGCCAGATATCAGGGTGAAAGCTGAAAGATCATAGAAGCAGAGCAAGCCACAGCCACCACCTCTTACCACACCAACTCCTCAGCGTGAAAGAGAGCAAGTTCCTGTCTCCTCCGGCCTTATACTCCTTTCTCTGCCCAGCCATATCACTTCCTGTCTCAACCCTCCTAGTGCTGGGATTAAAGATATGTGATCCCAAGTGCTGGAAATTAAAGGTGTGTGCCACCACTGCCTGGCTCTGGTTCTCTTTTAAAAGACTGGATTAATCTTGTGTAGCCCAGTGTGGCCTTGAACTCACAGAAAACCAGATCTCTGCCTCCCGAGTGCTAAGATTAAAGGTGTGTGCCACCACTGCCTGACCTTTAGGTTTAATCTAATGGCTGGCTGATCTTCAGGCAAATTTTATTAGAGTACAACACTCTTTAGTTCCAAAGGTCTGACACCCTCTTTTGGCTTTTGTGGACACTGTATGCACATAGTGCACAGACATAATGCAGGCAAAACACACACATAAAATTATTTTTTTAAAAAATGATGATAATGCTGGTGAAGATTAATTAATGTTTGTGATGACAGAAAGTTTAAGGGAACTCTATTTTCAGTTTGAGTGTAAACCTAAAACTACCCTCTGAAGTTTATTACTAATAGAGGATATATTCAAAAATTCCATCCTCTTTCACTGTCTAGAATTCTCAAAGATTACTCACAAGCTAAAATCTAAACACAACAGTAGGTGATGAAGGCACTTCTGTGCTGTCAGTAACTATTTGTGATGTTTAAGAAAATGAAAGTTTTAACTGGTTATAGTGGCATGTGCCTGTAATTCTAGCACTCAAGAGACTGAGACGAAAGGATTGTGAGTTTAAGGCAAATCTGGATAACATATTGAGACCTCATTTGCAAATCAGTAAAAACATAAATCATAAACCACAGGCCAAATAAACCACAGGCCAAATCTAGTCATCTCACTGGTGGAAGCAAATCTATGTAAAAGTAGCATGCTTTTTGCCATGAGTGTTCAGAATGCTGTGGCATCAAGTCAGTGCATTTTTACAAAGGAGATGAAAGATACCAGCTACCCTGACAAATTGGTTGGTAGTGATGAGTTACGGTATAAATATGAAAGCATCAAAACTATATTGGCCAGACATGGTAGTGCACACCTTTAATCCCGGTGCTTGGGAGGCAGAGGCAGGCAGATCTCTGTGAGTTCAGACAGCCTGGCAAATTCCAAGCCACCAGGGCTATAAAACAAAACAGCAACAGAAATCAGCCCATAACATGGTAATAAGTGACATGAAATTGAAACTGGGGGAGAGGTACTCAGTTAATATTTAGAAAGGCATTTATTTGCAAATTCAAACACCAAAATAAGAGTTTGCCAAACTCTTTCTGTGAAGGAATAGATAGTAAATATTTTAGGCTTTGTTAGCATTTGTCTTTCCCCATTTCCCCCTTCTCTTCTTCCCTGCCTCCCCTGCCCACTACTACTTCTACTCTCCTCCTCCTCCTCCCCCTCCCCCCTCCTCTTTTAAGCATTTAGACATGAAACATAAAAACAGTAACCCTAGCAAGGTGGCACACAAACAGATTAAGGACTGACTAGATTTGGCCTGTGGACAGTACTTTGTCTCCTTATAGAGAACATAAGAAATTCCCTCCAAAACAAAAGTAGAATAATTGGGAAAAGGCTAAATTGAAAATATGCAAAACTTTTTTTTTTAATATTTATTTATTTTATATGAATGACCTGTCTTCATGCACACCAGAAGAGGGAATCAGATCCCCATTACAGACAGTTGTGAGCTGCCATGTGGGTGCTGGGAATTGAACTCAGGACCTCTGGAAGGGCAGCCAGTGTTCTTAACCACTGAGCCATTTTTCCAGCCCCTGGAAAATATACAAAACTTATGAGAGGAAAATATATATTTTTATCGGTATAGTATAAGAAAAGGATGTAAGAAAAGCTGAATGTCATAAATAATTTAGAGTGGAATAAATTGAAATGTCAAGTTGTTTTTTCAGTTGCATGTATTGTGGATTAATGTGCCCAGTATCAGGAGACAACTTGTGGGAGTTGACTCCTTTCCTGCACATGGGTCCCAGGGATATCAGGCTTGGTGGCAAGTCCTTTTATCTGATGAACCGTCTCCTCGCCCAATGTCTAGTTCTTACATGGACCTCTTCCTCTATGTTGCAGCTATCCCCCCAAAACAATCCAAAAGATCAGTGCAATCCTAACAAAAATCATCTCATTTTTAAGTAAGATGTGATATTTAGTTTTAAGTTTATTTGTAAAAGGAAGTGTTTAACAATGCTTAAGAGAAGCTTGGAAAAATTGATTACTGTCTTATTATTGTCAAGCATAAGATAATCTCATATTGCCACAAAAATAGAAAGGTTATTGGAACAAGGCCTAGATTCATGAGATCTACTTAAATTTTCCTCAAGCCTTGCTTTGTCTCCTCCCCTGCACCCCCCTAAAACACATAGCACTTTTTTTTTTTTTAATCAAGGTATTACTCTGTAGTCTAAACTAGCCTATAATTTGAGATTTTCCTGCATTATCTTATCAAGTTCCGGGGTAATACATGTTTTTCTAAAAGCGGTGTCTTCTGTTTTTCTTTTCTCTCTGTGTTTAGGTATAAGTGTGCTTGCCGAGTGTCTGGACTGTCCTGAACTGAAAGCAACAGCAGATGACTTTATTCATCAGCATTTTACTGAAGTTTACAAAACTGATGAATTTCTACAACTTGATGTCAAGCGAGTAACTCAGCTTCTCAGCCAGGACACTCTGACTGTGAGAGCAGAGGATCAGGTAGCTAACCATATTGTCGTCTTAGGTGTTTCTTGGTAGAAAATTCTTTATCAATTCCTTCTACATGATGTTTTAATATATGACAACAAAAAGTCTTGTATTAGGAGAAAATGTGTTCTTTATAATAAATACATTATCACATTATCCATTTTCATTGGAAAAGTCAAGACTATTTGAACTACAGACTGCATGGTAGAGATAAAACTATTGGGTACTATGTTAGACACAGCAATGCCTCCCCCAAAAGATTTCCTAAACTTATGTTACCTTACATGTAGTAGTGAACTTAGAGCATGTGTCCAAGATGAGGATGAGAGGATGGGTAGGTTATAATTATAATTATGTATATAACTATGATAATAAGGGTCCTTAATTGTGGAAGAGGGTACAGTGTACAAAAGATTTGACCAGTCATTGCTGCTTTGGAGGTGGAGGAGGTCCACAGTACATATGGTTGATAAGAGACTAGAAGTGATCAAGGAATACTTTGTCATATGGGGCCTCCAGGTAGCCCTTCTGGCCTTGATTTTAGCCCAGCATGACTTGATTTACATTGTTTTCTAGAACCATCAGTTTAAGTGTCAGGTGTGTAAATTCGCCAAAGGTAGTTAGGAGCAGGTTGTGTGACTTTAATAGACTCACAGTTCTATATGTCAGGCACAGCAGTGTGCCTAAAGTTCAGTTACCTAGGAGGCTAAAGTAGAAGAGTGAATTGAGCCCAAGATGTTGAAACCAGCTAGAATATAATGTGACCTTACATTCTAGCAAATGTAGATTTAAAAAAAAAGAAAGAAAGAAAGAAAAAGAAACAAAAGGAAGATAAAAATTTCAGTTCTCAAGACTGGAGAGGTTGCTCAGTGGTTAAGCACACTGGCTGCTCTTCCAGAGGACCTGGGTTCGATTCCCAGCACCCTCGTGACAGCTCACAACTGTCTGTAACTCCTGTTCCAGGGGATCTGACACCCTTAACACCACAAACATACATGCAGACAAAACACCAGTGCACATAAAATACAAATAAATAAATTATTTTAAGGAAAAAAAAACTCACATCAGTTCTCTCATCAAAATTAACTGGCTTGTGTGCAGGTGAAGAAAACATGACTTTATACTGGAAAACCTGACAGATACTGCCAGCTGGTGGTCGTCAGTGATGTCATACTGAGTACATGCTCACTTGATGTCATAAAAAAGCGAATTATCACTGGTTTGGTTGGGTTTTGTCAACTTGACACAAACCTAGACACATCTAGAAAGAGGGAATTTTAAATTTTGAGAAAATGTCCTTATAAGAGTGGCCGGGGGCTGGAGAGATGGCTCAATGGTTAAGAGCACTGCTTGCTCTTCCAGAGGTCCTGAGTTCAACTCCCAGCACCCACATGGTGGCTCACAGCCATCTCTAGTGGGATCTGATGCCCTCTTCTGGCATAAAGTTGTACATGCAGATAAAGAAGTCATATACATAATAAATAATTTTTAAAAATCTTTAAAAAAAAAAAAAAAGACTGGCCTGTAAGCAAGTCTGTGGGGCATTTTCTTGATTAATGATTGAGACGGGAGAGTCCAGCAAGCCAGGAGGAACAAGCCAATAAGCAGAGTTCCCCATGGCCTCTGCTTCAGTCCCTGGCTTCCAGATTCCTGCCTTGAATTCCTACCCCGACTTCCCTTAGTGATGGAGTGTGACCTGAGAGATAAAGCTAAAATAAACCCTTTCCTCCTTGAGTTGCTTTGGTCATGGTGTGTTATCAAGCAACAGAAACCTAAGACAACCATTGTGGTCACCTCCCCAAAGGCATACTAGGTTAATGCACAAGGATCCAGCAAACCGAAACGGAGGACAGTTACCTGACCAGAATTCAGAAAGAAGGCAGGTCAGAAGCTCCCACAGTCTGTCTAAAAATCCTTAGGTGATTTATTGACTTAATATAATATAGTCTCCTTAATGGAGTAATGGGAAGGAAAATCATACTAGATAAACACTAGAGAAATATAAAAATTATGGTATTAATATAGGAATATTAACTCATTGGTTATGACAGATGCCTTATACTGTAGTGACTGGGTGCAGAGAATACTAAATCTAATCTGTTATGCACTTGACCGTAGCAAAAGACCAAAAAGCAATCTAAACATGTTGTAAAATAAAAAGCCTGTCTTTAAAATTCCAGTTCCCATAATTTATTAACTAGCTCAAACATATGTGTAGTAAATGAGTATGTATATGAAATAAGTTGTTGGTGATATTTAATGATTTATAAGTTAAAGTATATTAATGAACTTGAACTTGTTCAGTGCAGTTAAATGAATGTTATAGTATTTTTTAAAGCAATTCTCATAAATATCCTATATTTTATTAAATATAGAATTGTATATCTTAAATTTTTTTAGAAGCGGTTAAGTCTGTTGCTTCACAGTGTAGAAATACAAGGTTAAAATAAATAACTCTTTTACCTCCTGCAATGGAAGCCCTCTTGGGAAACCTGTGTTCCTGGTCCTGAGCATATATTGGGGCTGTCACTGACTAATTGACTTCTTTCGGTATCATATGACTGCTTCTGAAGAGGAAGCGGTGGTTTGTTTTAAAAAACACATCAGAAATTTTGGGACATCATAACTTGCTGCTCTGCCCATGGAGTTCAGTTCCCAGCACCACATCTGCCTAGAACACAACTGCCTAGTCACAACTGCCTAGAACTCCAGCTGCCAAGAATGTGATAACCTCTTCTGGCCTCTATAAGTACCTACCAACATGTGGAGACACATACACTCATAGACATAAGTAAAAATAAGTCCTTCTACAGAATTTTATTTTTATTATTTTTAATTAATGTATATGTGTGTGGATATGTGCACTTGTGTGCAAGTGCCCTTAAAAGCCAGAGGCATTGGACCCGCTGGAGCTGGAGTTAGAGACCATTGTGACATGGGTGCTAAGAACCAAACTCAGGCCCTCTAGAAGAGCAGTACGTGCTCTTAACAGCTGAACCATCTCTCCAACCCCATAAATCTTTTTTTTTTAAATCACAACTTTAACATCCTTCCCATTACTGTGTGTATTAGTAGTTAGTTATAGCAAACATACTGCCTATAAGGCTCACTAACACAGTGTGTAAAGTGTTGGAGGTATAATCAGGTGTTGAGGAATGCAAATGAGTATTTGGACAACATACTGAGAATAATTGTCCCCTTTTCAGTGTGAGAGTGAAAATAGATGTTTGGAATTTCGCTGCCATCTGCGAACTTTACTCTTCTGTTTTCCCCTTTAGGTTTATGATGCTGCAGTGAGGTGGCTGAAATATGATGAGCCTAATCGCCAGCCATTTATGGTTGATATCCTGGCTAAAGTCAGATTTCCTCTTATATCGAAGAATTTCCTAAGTAAAACAGTACAAGCTGAACCACTTATTCAAGACAATCCGGAATGCCTTAAAATGGTGATAAGTAAGTTGCCTTCATACCCATTTATATATGGATCACATGGCCATCTTCCATGGACTAAAAACCCATTCAGTGGCTCAGACTCACTAGCCAGGGAAAAACATTGAAGACATCTTCATAGTGTGGGTTCTCAGCCCCCTGAAAAGGATTAGCCTCAGCCATTATAGTGAAAAAGTGAAGTTTTTTCCCACCTTGGGCCTTTTCTAATTTGTTCACAATAGCTTTCATGTACTTTGTTCATACTGTTTCCTTTTTATTTAATTAAGTAGTGTCCCATCTCAGCAAATCTGAATGAAGAAGTGTGGTAACTAGTCAAGCATGTTTTACATGTTTTTGGTTTTGTTTGTGAACTGTATCTAGGTTCTGTATCTACTTTTTTGTGAAGTTGCTGGACTTCAACTTACGAAGAGGATAGCTTCATAATTTTATTTTATGTAAAAAGTATTTTCCTACTTTGCCTCTTTTCCTTTCCAACATTTATGAGATTTTTTTTCAAATTTCAATTTTTGTTGAGAAGAAAATATGAGGTAGGAAATACAATTTTTCCTGTACTATCTAACATTAATAGACAATCCATTTTCCCCACACTAATTTAAAATGACATCTTAAACAGTTTTTGATTATGTGACTCGGCCAAATTAAGGAAGATCCATAATAGTTTTGAATCCTCATTGCATGTGATCTAAGATAGCTCTTCTTAAAGTTTTATGTGCATCTGAGTTAACTTGGGATTGTCCAGTGCACAGGTGATGGTGTGGTAGCTTTTAGGTAGTGGGGTTCAGCATTTCTAAGGTGATGGTGTGGTAGCTTTTAGGTAGTGGGGTTCAGCATTTCTAAGGAAGCTGCTACTGTGTGAACCACGTTCGCATGACAAGTAAGAGGGGCGTTTAACACCAACTCCCTGGTGCCCACAGCAGAGATTGTAACTGGTCTGTGGTAGGAACCAGGTAGAAATAGAGATTTCTCATGTGATTCTAACATGCAGTTAAAACAGAGCGTTGATGGTAGTGGTACATATTTGTTATCTATCTCTACATTAAGGAACTGAGGCAAGAGGCTTACTAGTTAGAGGACAGCTTCCTGTGTTACATAGTGAAACCTTATTTCATGAGGAAAAAGAAGACTGAGATTACTGGGTTTAAGAGATCTGGAGTTCAGTGATTATTATTTTAACAACTACTCTTGAGTAACCCATTAATTCATTGGCACGTAGTAAGTGGGTGACATAGTCTTAGTAATATTGATTGCTGAGAATTGTAAATTAATTAAGATGAGGATTCTTAGACATTTATCCTGCCTCTGTCTTCTTTCTTCCTAGAACACTAGAGGGATCGAAAAGTAATTTTAAGTTACAGGAGGATTAAAAAAAAAAAGGACTACTTTTTTTTTGTTTTAAAGATTTATTATTTATACAATGTTCTGTCTGGGTGTTTGCCTGCACACCAGAAGAGGGCATCAGAACTTATTATGGAAGGTTGTGAGCCACCATGTGGTTGCTGGAAATTGAACTCAGGTCCTCTGGAAGAGCAGCCAATGCTCTTAATCTCTGAGCCATCTCTCCAGCACCTACCTTACTTTTCAAATCTTTGACTTAGTAGTACCTGAAGCTCTTGAAGAGTCACCATGTATTTTGTGCAGGTGGAATGAGGTACCATCTGCTGTCTCCTGAGGATCGAGAAGAACTCGCAGGCGGCACACGGCCTAGAAGAAAGAAGCATGATTACCGCATAGCTCTGTTTGGAGGCTCCCAACCACAGTCTTGTAGATATTTTAACCCAAAGGTAACTAATTTTTTCTGATTTTTATTTTGAAGGAACTGAGCACATATAGAGACTAACATATCTCATGGTAAGTAAAAATCGATTGCCTAGTTACTGTTGTTTTATAGGGTAAGGAAATTGAGAATTAGATTTTAAATGTCCCCTATAGCTTCTCTGGAGTGCTTTAAAAAGAACCACTACAGAGAAGACAAAGTTCAATCTTTGTTAGCAAGTCCATGCACTGATTCTAATGTCCTTGCTTTCATTAGATGATTTTCTTCAGTGAAAATCAGCTTCTTAGGCTAGATGTGTTTTTTTTCTTTAGTAATTATAATGCATTGTCATTCTAGACAATTTGGAAAAATGTAGTCACAAAGAAAAAAGATAGATACCTTTATCCAACTATCTAGAAACAACACTTTTAGTGTGTTTTCCAGTACATTTAATACCAATTAGAGAAGCAGATTATGAGTCATAGGTCTAGGGACACAAGTTTTTAAAATATGGAGGTGTTTTGTTACATCCTTGAGATGGCCCAATCATATTTCTCCTTGTGTCTTGGTCCTGTGTGTTTGGATATGGAGAAATACAATATTTTTCTGATATTGCATGCATTGCTGGAGCAGAGCAAATACCAAAGTCCTAAATGATAACTCCCAGAATTTGCAATAAGGTATCCATAACCCATGCTGAATCCAAGCATAACATGATACCTTTCTTTTATAAGTCCCCTCCCCTTTTCAGTTGATGGTTAGTACTTGGCATTAAGATACTTGTCTGATACCTTTTTCTATGTAAAGTAGATCCTTCAAGACATCCATGTAATAATGTAGTGTTGATCTACAAGTTATTTATAAAAGCAGAGAGATGTCAAGTTCGAATCTGTATTAAGTATCAATTCCTGGGAAAGCAAACATTATCTCCTTCCAAATGCTGGTTCCCTCAGATTGTGGTAACAAATCAGGCTTTAGAATTGGTCACTGGTGCTGAGGTGTCAGCAGCGGCCAGCTACATTGGCCTTGGGCAACTGTAACTTCTGTGACTACTGGCTTCGGCAGCCTCTCAGTAGCGCTGTGGTCATTCATACACACTCACTGGGCGTGCATTAGGCTGGCTGGAGTGGGAAGGCATAGATGCAGTTTTGTACACAAGATACTGTTTATAGTTGTTTGGGGGCCACCTATTGTCAGCAGTCTTGCATTCTTTCTGTTTGTTTGTTTGTGTTCATTTTAGTAAGCCATTAATAATGCCCCCAAAATGATTTTTTTTAAAGTAACCTTTGGCACCCCCGTACCTAAAATGAACAGCTAGCTCAGTCACTAAAGTGTTGGCCTTGCAAGCACTTAAGACCTATAATCCTCATTTGAAGCCTCCACAAATCCAGTCTTGTGTTTCTATACAACAGAATTTTAGTTTTGTGGTTAGATCCATTACACTTATTGGGGGTGGGTTAATGATATGTTGGTGGCCTGTGTCAGACATTTGCTGTCTGTTAGAACAAACTGGTGAACCAGGCTATATGTGCTTAGAAGACCGATACCTACTTAAAGAAAGTTGCTTTATTTGCTCCATAATCCCAGATGTGCACTGTGATCTTATTGGGACATTCCTGAAGCCATATAAAGGAAGTATCTGTTGCCCCAGAATCACAGGGTAGCCTGAGCTGCTGGGTCATACTACCATAGCTTGTTCCACTTATTAGAGGGCTTTCTTCTCTGGAGTTTAAAAGGAACAGTCAGATCTCTCCTGTCTGATATGTAGGAGGAGCTAGGACATTAATCTGTCCTGCATATACCAACATACTATAGACCAGGGGGTTGGCAGACTTCTGTAAAAAAAAAAACAACAGAGAAAATATTGTCACCTTTGCAGACCATATTTTCTTTGCCACAGCTACTCAGTTATGTTGCTATAGAAGATAAATAGCCGTAAACAGTATATAAACACAAATGGGCATAGTTTTATTCCATAAAATTTTATTTACAAAAACAAAATGATTAACTGGATTTGGCCTTTGGGCCATTGTTTTCCAACCTCTGTTCTAGACCCATAGAGACAATAGACAAGTAGGGCCATTAAAGTAACCAAATGAGTTAGCTCATCTTCTGTCTTTACTAAGAAATGGAGGGTTCTTTACTGTCTTGGTCTCCAGAACTGCTCAGCATCATGGGCATCAACAACATTGTCTGTGACGATCTTTGTGAAGATGAGCTGGTCCATGTTCCCTGCAGCTTATATTGTGGTGTGGAGTTAGAGTCAAAAGAATCTGGAGGTCAAATCATGACATCATTTTCTCTGGCAGTTGACAAGAAATTCCCTCTAGTAGGTAGTTAGCCTTAGCCAGCATGTTAGCTATATGCCAGATTTACAGCTTATATCAATCTGGTCCAGTTAAGAAGACCATACCTGGCCCTGCTTCATTGATAATTGGAGTTACCATTATTGCTGGTTCCTCCTCTGTTTTGCAGAGAAATCCTCCAGGGCTTCTCCTGAGAACATTTAATGTCATAACCCAGAAAGTGAGTGTTTTGCTGCCAGATACCAAAAACACCTCCCCAAGGAAAGGATCACATTCACTATATTTGTCAGTCCCTTCTGGGATGCTGTCACCCAGAAATTACTTCTGGACCATCCCTCCAGCCTCAAAATGCAGGCTTGCATATGGCTTCTTTCACGTTAGAAGACAGATGGGCTGCTATGAGATTCGTGGCCTGTATATGTGTAGTACAAGCCAATAAACCCAATTTCTTTAGTGTGTTTGAAAGGTTAGTCATATCTGCATACCTGTTTCATACCAGGTGAGGGTAAGCCTATTGAAATTTAAGTGATGATTTGCTTTTTAAATTTTTGGGAGCCTTTGCATGAAGAAAGGAAAAATAATACCCCTCCCAAGTATAAACTGAAAACCAGCAGTTTAAATTATACTTTTTACAAGCTACAGCTTTCAGGTGATAATCATAGTTGTACCCTTAAAGCCTAGCTGTAGTGTTTATTTAGGCAGTAAAAAAATAATCAAGCCAGGTGGTGAGGGCACACACCTTTAATCCCAGCACTTGAGAAGCAGCGGTGGGCAGAGCTCAGTGAGTTCAAGGCCATCCTGGTCTGCAAAGCGAGGTTCAGTACAGCAAAGACTATTATACAGAGAAACCCTGTCTCGAAAAAATAAATAAATAAATAAAAATTAAAAAAAAAATAATAAAAGAAAGAAAGAAAAAAAGAATAATCAAACCAAAATCTGGTAGAAAACATTTTAAAACATCAATAAATAAAGGACTATTCTGGTGTATTTGATGGGCCAGAAGAATCTTAAATTCATTAGGGAGGCAAGGCGCATCATTGCTAGAATGAGATGAATGAGGAGAACTCTGACACTTTACCCTATGAACCTAACACTTTCCTTGGTATTGTTTTTTTATTGGACAGTTGACAAAAAATGGATATTCTGCAAAGCCCTGGTACTGAGACTGTAACTCCAGAATTCTCCCTTGATGCCTTGCTTTGTTCTTTAAAATGGCCCATTCTTAATGCCTTCTTTTGTACTCAACCAAAATTTTTATAGATTACCGGTGTTGAAAATTCAAATAATGGAGAAATTACCTACTTATTTAAAAATTGTCATCCCATCTGTTACTTCTTACTTCCTGAAACTAAGAACTATTAGAATCTACTTACAGTATTTATGGTGTCTCTTAAAAGAGCTAGCTCAAGCCAGGTATCAGTGGCACACACCTTTAAACCCAGCACTCGGGAAGCAGAGGCAGGTGGATCTCTGTGAGTTTGAGGCCAGCCTGGGCTATAGAGCAAGATCTAGGACAGGCACCAAAACTACACAGAGAAATCCTGTCTGTAAAAGAGAGAGAGAGAGCACCAAGAAAAAAGAAAAGAGAGCTAGGTCCTGTCTTTTATGTTGTAAAAACTCATCTTGAAAAACTTTGGCCAGTTGTTATTGTTAAAATATTTTAGTATTTAAATTGATTAGTCCTAATTATTTCTAATATTAAACAGATAAGGTGATTACTTTGATTACTTACTTGGGATGCCCCAAGTGAACATTATATCATTAGTCAAATAATAAACTGTTTAATAAGAAGTAATAAAGAGAACAATTTTTTTAAGAGGACTATTTTTAAGCAGTGCTTGTTAATTGAGTTATCCATCAGCTCCCCTATAAGCCTCTTTGATATTCCTTAGATATTACTGGTGTCAGAAGGCAAATGTTTGTATTGTTTGATCACAAAAAACTGAGAGTAAAAATTGTAAAAAGCGTCTCCCTTTTCCCATCTTGTACCTACTTTTCAGCTTTCAAGTGCTTAGTGATTGCTGAAAGATTTCATTGTATTCAGTGTTCTATGTGTGTGTACTCAGCTGTAGCATGGTCATGTGTTATGATACTGATACCTAAATAAAAGTTGACTTAATTGACCATTTTATTTGGATTCCTAATGAAAGGATGGACTGAAGGCTTAGAACTCTATGAAGATCTTCATTTAACCCCTTTCATGTGCAGAAGGAAAGGGAGACTTACCATAGAGAAGAAGGAATCTAGCATATTCTCTGGCAGGAAAACAAATAAATGGTAAATCCAGCAGAGGACCTGTGCTCATATGTTACAAAGGTAGAAAACCATATGAATTGTCTGCCATGTGGGATTCAGAGGTCCGTCTCAGCCTTCCCTCCCTGCACCTTGTATAGACCAGACTGACCTTGAACTCCTTGATCCTGCTGCCTCCACTTCCCAAGTGCTGGAATTACAAAGTCTCACTCAGACCGAGTATGAGGTTCGTATCTGGTCTGTTGTAAGGACTCAAGTGCATGAGGAAGAATGAACAAAGACAACACTGTATGACATTTCACAGGGAATTTGAGTACTTGGTTTTATGGGGTCGGATCTAAATATGAACTCACCCCCACCCCCTTTAAAAAGTTTCATCTTCAACCCAGAGCACATTTTCTCATTAGAAATACTATTTACTAAAGATTATCACACTTTTATCTCACAGTATGATAGCCACCTTCTCTCT